GGTGATAGAACACCGCCAGAAGAGAAGGAGGAACGGGGGAGAAGAGAAGAGTACGAAGTGGCCAGAGAAGGAGGAACGGGGTGGCCAGACAAGGAGGAACGGGCAGCAGCGTAGGTACGTGGGGGAGCATCGGGGAATGCAGTGACAGTCTCTCCTCCCTGCTGGTGCGTGTGCAGTGGTCTGTGTTCCCACTGCCTCTGCCGATACAGGTGGGGAGAGCAGCGAGGATTGAAAGGAACACAGAATGCTGCAGGCAGCATCAGTGTGTAGGAGAACGTTGACGAAAATTGGGTACCGGACGCAAATCGTTTTCGTCCCATTAACTACTCTTTAATTTAGTTTTTATCACTTTATTGCTGAGATTTGTAGTCTCTCTACAACTTGGAGTCAATGGCGGATCTACCAGGCTCACAGCTGCAACCGGGCTCTGTTGCTCCACCACTGACTCCAAGCTGTAGAGAGACTACAAATCACAGCCCGGTCATGAGGAAGAGCGCCCTGGTGACCATCAACATTTTCCACCAAAATCCTCAGCACTAGGCCTGTGGTGCTCTGAATCTGGCCCAGGCCTAAAGCTGTGTAAGGGGCCCCAAAATTTCTGATGGCTGCCCTGAGAGTACACACATTCATTGGCAGAACTCCAGCCAGTCATGATGAGCGGTTCCTCAGCATTTGTGGTCTTTAATACTGCAGGGAATGGCTCACATATTTACATGTGTGTCTCATTCTATGCAGCATTGTACAGGGAGCCTGGGCTGTGTGATGATGCATTGTTCACCTGAGCTCACAGAAAGTTGTTCAGTGACGCTAGGCATCATTCAACCCAGAACTGAAGCAGCAACAAGCGGCACAGGACGACATGGAGGCCTTTGCAATAAATACAGGTGTTTAAGTGAACATTTTTTGATTGAAAAATATACGTTGTTTTGTATATAATTAAATAAAAAAACAAGATACAAATTTGGAGTACATTCCACCCTGTACTGGGATGTAGCGCAAGAACACTACATAGCAATACAGCACAATCACACTAATACATTTCATTCAGTTTATTTTTTCAAGCCCGCGGTGCGTGCAACAGAGTTCAAGGAATTAAAGGGAGATCTAGTAACCTAGTTAACATGGCCACTGTAAGAAGACTGGGGAAACAAAGGTACGCAAAGAATACAAAGCCGGCATGTTTAGGCCTTGTTCACACTAGACACAGTGCGTTCTGACACGATTCTGGCAAGAATACACTGCATCGCATTGTGGCTGGCTCACTATGTTGTGGGACAGGAGGGGGCGTGGCGGTCCATTGAAGTGAATGGCACTGTAGCCCTCCGTCCGCACGGTAACGCAAGGCACTTTGCCTGGAGTCTGGTCCGGTCCGAACAAAATAGTGCTTGCAGCATTTTGTTCGGCCCGGACCAGACCGCAGGCAAAGTGCCTTTCGTTACCGTGCGGTCGGAGGGCGTGGCTGCGCTGCAATTCACTTCACTGGACCGCCACGCCTTCTCCTTCCCCACAAATGTCCAAGGACCTGTAGCACACCTTACCGGACTTCCCATGTGGAAAAATGGGTGCTCGTAATGACTACGGATGGCGCCGTATCAGATAAAATGTTGTATGGATGTCACCAGCACTCCAAGTATGACAGAATACCTCAAGATTTTTAGTGAATCTTCATTTTATTTTTGAAGTCACTTAAAGTGGACTTCAAAAATAAAATGAAGATTCACTAAAAATCTTGAGGTATTCTGTCATACTTGGAGTGCTGGTGACATCCATACAACATTCTCCTTCCCCACAACACAGTGAGCCAGCCGCAAAGCAATGCGTTCTGGCCATAATGAGGCGAGAGCGGGCTGTATTTAGTGTGAACGAGGCCTTAGTTATTACTAAACATTTCTAAAAGTGTGTTTGTTGTGATTTTAAAGCTATGGGTAAAGTTCTTCTTTAACCGCTTCCTGTCCAGAGGTTCTACATAAACGTCCAGACGGGAGCCTTCCAGATGCGGGTGGGTGTTTTAAAAAAATCCTTCCCCGCCCCCACTCATGCGAACCATGCAGCACGTGCAGGAGTGGGAAAGCTGCCTAAATTTCAAACAGCCAGCGGTGGCTATTTAGCCACCTGATCGCTTGTATTTTGCATGTGGATTTGCAGCAAAAAAATTAGTCACCAAAAAAAAATGTAAAACACATTTTAAAGTCCCTCACTCCACATACACACAAACGTGCCGCAGGTGCGCCTACGTGCAAAAATTATGATTGCGCCCATTTTACTTATCACCATGAACGTGGGAGCAATAATTTTAGGTCCATAATCACTGATAGCACTAAACTGATGAGCGGTAAAAGCTTTTAAAACGTCGACTATGACTATTTTGGGTATGGTAGTTTTTTGCGTTTTCACAGGCAATTTTAAGGCTTGACATGTTTGGTGTCTATTTACCCGACGTGACCCCGTCTTTTATATTTTACCAAAAAAAGATTGGGTAATAATAAAAGGTTTCATAATATAACAGTTTTTTTTTCTCAAAGTTGCTACATTTTTCATTATATAATAAAAACCACAAAAAGAAAGCTCTATCTGTCCCCAAAAAGTGGTATAAAGTTCATTTCAGTAGTGTTGCATGATGGAATAAATGTCAAAGTATCACAGTGCTGAATACTGAAAAATGTCCTGCCCAGGAAGGGGGTGTAGCACCCCGGTCATCAAGTGGTTAAGGCAGCCCAATTAAATGAATGCGCAACCACAGCCTCCCAAAAATCAGTCATCCCCCAAAGTGTTGTAACACTGAAGTGAAGTGCATGAATTATGAAGTGCATTGCTTTATGGATTTGGGTGCTATTCAAAATGAATCGCATAGCAACACGCATATAAAATGCTCTGTGCGCCCACATTGCAGTAGCAAAAATGTCAGGGGAGAATAAACGACTTAGTGATTCCCCCTTCATGGAAATGCAGCGACCATTTTGTTCTCTTTTCCCGCCACTTTTTTGTTTCTTCTGCTGTTTTCCTGCTCTTTGTGCTCTATCCCAACAGGATTGGTCATGACAATATCCGGGCAGACTTACCTTAGTCTAGGCGGGAAAAGCTGCGGGTAGCAACAGCCCCTGATTGGCTGAAGAGGCTTATAAAAATATGGACCGTTGTGACCTTCTCACCTTTTTCAGCTGACATCCAGAGGAGCTCCTCCACCCTCCCACCCTATACGTTTTGAGACATCTCTGTCACGGCATTGGTTATGTGGTCAGTCACCTCCCTGAGGGGGACATTTTAAAAGATGTTGACAAATGTTTATCATTATTGGTGTGCTTGGGCCTTTCTAGCCAAGCACTAGTTGAAGTTATGCTATTTATATATATTTTAATTCATGAGTAAACCAATAAAAAATGCCGCAGCCATTTCTTGCCACTTGGAGTATGTTCGTTTTTATTTTAGTGATATAATAAGTTTGCTTGGTTTGAATGTCGTTTGCTTTTCCATTGGCCCTAAGTAAACACATCAGAATAAGGGCCCATTCACACTGCTGAATTACTGGAACACACATTACAGCGTTTGTGTGATGTAGTGTCATTTATTCTTAATGTTACAGTAACACACTGTCAATAAATGCTGCATGCACGATGTTTGGGGCGTCAGCCAATCCACCACAAGAGCTGTCCTAATGCAATACACATTTACCCAAACCAACCTCAGGGTGGATTCACACCATTGTGTTGTAATAATCACACAGTACCACACATTGTGGTGCCATGCACCCCAATGTGCACTAGAGGTCGTCATATGTGGCATTTAAATAACGTTCGAACTAAACAAAAAACACAGCTCGATGCTCTGGGAACAGTGCTTTAGCTCTGACTGGCACCGCACACCAGAAGCTGAGCAATTAGTGCGGCGTCTGGTGATTGATCCGAACACATAGCAGACACATTTTGCGGTAGCGTGCGATTGACACAATGCAATGGTGTGAATGGGCCCCGCATATTTAAAATTGTGACCCGTCACCTAAACCCATCAAAGCCCCAGATGCCATTTTAAAGACCAAACAAGCGATCAGTTTACAGGCCCTCCGACATAGCCCCGATGAATCGCAGTGGACTGTCACCATTACTAGTCCATCCCCCAACCATATCTGTGTCCGTCTCGTATGTGGGACGGACACAGATATGTCACGTGCCATAGACAGAACCCGCACTGGTGATCCCCATTTAATCGGCTGTCACTCCGTGAGGAGACCCGCAGAAAGCACACAACCCACGTGTAGTGCTCCGACGCCGTTGTATGACGTCACTATGCGACATTAGTTCTGTAGTGAAGGGGCGCGGTTTCATAAATACCACGCCCCGCTTCTACCACGCCCACCACAGTCAGCTGTTTTCTTTTCCTTTGGCTGAGCACTGAATGGTCTTATCAGGGAGTCCGATCAGTGCTCGATCACTGCCAGTCCCATCCGCCGAGCTACAGGTAAAAGCGCCTATGATTGGTCAGTCCTAAGATCCACACCCCCCAGTGCACACCTATTACGCTTCAGGATTCTCATTGGCTGTCACGCTAATTCCAGAGGCTCGTGTCATCGGTTCAGGTCCGCCCACTCCGCCCATCAACATAACACAGCGGAGTTCCCCATGCGAGTGCAGACAGAGGGACAGCGGACTGCAGACAGGGTTGGCATCTGATCACCGGCATAGACTGTCACATCACACAACCTTCGGATGTGTTCCTGTCATCATCCATCAGACCTCCAACCCTCCTGGACTACCTATAATGTATGTGGACTAGCCGGGACTGTCACCGGGAGAGCCTTGACCCAACCTGGACTGTCATTCTGACATCTGCAAGCACCTGCGCTGGAATCTTGTAACACCTACACCTGGGACTGTCAAATTTTTGTCATCCCTATCCCTGGGACTGTTATAAATTTCTGATCCCTACACCTAGGACTGTCATAATCCTGACTCCCTCATTCTTAGGACTTTCTATCATCCATACACCTGGGGCTTTTAGAAGATCCTTACTTCCGGGACTGTCAGAATCCTGTGATCCTTATACCTGGGACTGTCATATCCAGTGATCCCTACACCTGGGACGGTTAGAACCCTGTGATCCTCATCCCCCTTCTGGACTGTCCCTCAGATGAGTGGTGTGGACCTGTTGCAGTGACTGGGACTTGTCTGCCTTGCTGTTTGGTCCTTTGTAGCGGAGAAGTGAAGCTGTGGGATTACTATGTTTGACAAGAGGAGGATCCCCTTTGTGGCCCTGGACATAGTGTGTGTGATTCTGGGTATGTCTCCTGCCATCATTATCAGCATGGACTTTCTTCTATCCCTGTCCTCATGGGGGCCCCCCTTCCTCCTCTCTCAGGGGCCCCCATTCCTGAGCTTGTAACATGATCTTCCTGTTCCATATGTGTCCCTTTGCTTTGCATGCTCTCTGACATACTAACCTCTCCTGTATTGTCCCCCATGATTGTGGTCACACCTGCACCGTCCACCTCTGTATAGGCTGTGTGCTGATACAAAGGAGACGTGTAATGTCGCAGATCGCAGTGTTTGTAAGCGACGCAATTGATCCGCCTTTGGCACAGGCAGTGTAGTGCTGAGCTCCCGATCGATCAATTGCTGTCTGTGCTCCTATTGGCAAGATTCCCATCTGAAAGAAAGTGGTCACCGGCACCGGAAGTGGGGGTGAATTTCCCCCACTTCACTTTACCCTTCACTGCTATCCTAAAAAGAGTTTTACCTCCTTTTCAAGTCAGTGACCACAGGTCCCCGGGACAGGAAGTGAGAGGAAATCTTCCCAATGGGGACACAGCTGTAAAACTGACCACAGCTCTGCAATGCAAACAATGATCTCTGGACTCCTTTCATTCTTCCCGGATAGAATAATTACCACGTTCTTGTCAAATCAGAAGAACTTCCTTTATTTATGTATTGGCCCCTATTTATAATGATATTGGCCCCGTGGTTGTGTTATGAGTTCCTGTAGGGAGCTGTGTGCTGAAATCTAGTCATCACTTCCCGGCAGCTGTCATATGAGAGTGAGCTCAGGGTGCAGTAACGTCTTCACTATTATGTCTTCACATATTCCCTTTCTTTACATGCGTTAAAAAAAGTGCGTCGCATTTTTGAAGCTTTGTAAATGCGCCCAAAGCCGACGCACACTCTGTAATATAGGAGTGAGCGCTGTAGTACACACACACCATTCCGAATACGTTCGTGTTATTTTGCTTCACTACACAGTGCGGGGAATTTATCACAACTGGAGCAGTTGCCCGTGGCGACCAATCAGCTTCCCTCTTTCATTTTCAAAGCTGAACCAAAGAGAATGCCTGATTGGTTGCCATAGACAACTGCTCCAGATTCTGTCCGCTCCAGCTTGTTTTTGATCTCATCAGCAGCGTTTGGCACCTCCAGACAATATATTAATGATATTTTATTTGTGTTATGTACCTGGAAAAGGCCTACTTTGTATAGACATGCACAGGCCCAGAGGCTGTTGCTAGGCAATAGCTTAGCTTGGCCTACCAACAGCCATCTTGGATGTGATGTCAGCAGCTCCAGCAGACACTTGGGGGGAATTTATCAACTGGAGCAGGCACAATCTGGAGCAGTTGCCCATAGTAACCCATAAGCTTTACTCTTCAGTTTGCTTTGAAAGATAGAAGCTGACTGGTTGCTATGGGCAACTACTTCAGCTTCTGTCGGCTTCAGTTTTGATAAATTCCCTTCTTAGGGCTCTTACTCAAGTGACAAGGTCAAGAGCAACTACAAGGTAAAGGGGACCTCAGATGTGGCCCCTGATATCTCCAAAGGGCCACATATAATATTATATGTAATGCTACAGTAAACCACCATAGACCTGCTAGAAGAAAGGGTCAGAGATCCTTCTGCAGGAGTGATTGGGCACAGACGTCAGGCTGTAGGAGAGGATCAGAGACTAGGTATAGGTTACATAAATCGACTAAACTTCTTTTAAAGTCCCCTTTTGAAATCAGTGCTTCCACTATTAACTGCTGGGTCCCCTGGGCAGCACTTCAAACACCAAAGGGCCACATGTGACCCTTGGGCTGCAGGTCAGGCACCAGGGCTCTATAGTATTTCCCTTTTTTCTGTCCCTGGCTGCTACATGAAAGTTTATATATGGAGGTGACGGGCGGGGGGCATGGCTGGGCCAGCACGGACAGGAACCCCCAGGAGAGGGCTATGGAGTGCATTGCTCACCTCTATCTCCCTCTGCTCCGGGTATTTAATGTCCCGCTGTGCCCTAATGTCTAATGCAAGTCAATAGACCTGGATAAGACGGGATGATGTCAGCGATCCTTAGATTTCCAGAGCCCGGGGAAGAAGAGGCTGCAGGGGCCGGTCTAGCAGCATGGCCAGAGCCAGAGGGACTGAGAATCAGGTAAGTAAATTTGCTTTATTTAAACTCCCCAGACAAAACGAGTAGGGCTGCAGCTAACGATTATTTTCAAAATCGATTAGTTAGCCGATTATTAAGTTCGGTTAATCGGATAAAAAAAAGAAAATGGCAATAATACATTATACAGCACAATTCAGAATACCACCAGCTATAGAGGAATACATCAAATCCCAGCAATTGTACATGATAGCTGGCGGTATTCTGCATTGCGCTGTATAATGTGTTCTTACTGTGATTTGTAGTATTCCTCTATAGCTGGTGGTAAATTATTGTGCTGTATAATAATACAGCGCAATGCAGAATATACCACCAGCTATAGAGGAATACAACAAATCCCAGCCAGCAATAATACATTATAAAGCACAATGCAGAATACCGTCAGCTATAGAGGAATACAACAAATCCCAGCAATACAATATACATACAGTGTATAATCTATTGCTGGGATTTGTAGTCCTCTATAGCTGATGGTATAATACACAGCGCAATGTACCGCCAGCTATAGAGGAATACAACAGTCCCCACTATCCCTGCAATACATTAAAATAACCCAAGCGCCATGTATGTGTGTGGGGGGTCGCAGGCACTCTTACTTTTAGATGCTGGATCGAGTGAGTGAGTGAGTCTCCTGTCAGGTGCCAGAGCGGGGAGAAGAGGTGTGTGTGGAGCCGCGAGCAGGGTAAACTAATCGATAGCCGACTAATCGATGGTGGACAATGTTTTCCATCGTCGATTTTAATCGACTACATCGATTAGTTGTTGCAGCTCTAAAAACGAGCACTAGCAGTGCAGTGTGTGTGTGTGTGGGGGGTCATTCACCGACAAGGCACAGCCGATAATGGGGCGACAAGATTAAGGCCCCATTCACACCATTGCGTTCTGTGAATGTGCATTGCGTTGATGCGCATTCTTCATGCGTGTTCACGGACATTTGTTTTCCCGTGCGCCCCCCTTGATTTCAGTGGGTGAATGCATGCGCAACACACGTAGTAAAGTAGCTGATGTAGCAAATTCTTCTACAGGCGTCCATGTTTTTTTTGCGCGTGCGTTTGTGCACGGTTTCACATGTGGGAAAACTGTGCGCGTTTGCCCGGCCACCTTTGGGCTGCCAGTAACTAATGATGGCACTGCAAGCGCATTGCACATTTTTTTCCTGCCTTCTGTGGACGTGCGTCAAAGCATGCGTTTCCGCCCCGAGTTTGGCACGTGTTGATGGAACGCCTAGGTGTGAAGGGGACTAAGAAGGCCTTCTGGAAGCTTTAGACAAGGAAATCCTCATCAACACATTTCCATTCTGTATACCATTCAGAAGCGGACGCGCCCGTGTGATGGTCGCCGATCACTATTCCAGTTTTCATTTCTCCCCGCTATGGTTATAGAAGGACGCAGCGCTGCACTCGTGTTTGTACTGTCCAGTGAACCGGATGATCCAGGTTCAGTCATATGCAGTGATTTTCTCATGGAGTAAAGTACATATCCGCCGCACCAGATGAAGAGGTTTCTAGGTTGTTTCTAGTGACAGCTGGGGCAGCAGATCGCAGTGACATGTGGATAGTAAACAGTCTCTTGGTGGTCTCAGAGCAGGGGTCGGCAACCTTGGGCACGCTCCCTGTTGTGGAACTACAAGTCCCACGAGGCATTGCAAGACTCTGACAACCCTTGGCATGATTTCCGGAGGCAAAGACATGATTAGATGTGTAGTTTCACTACAGCTGGAGTGCCGAGATTGCCTGCGCCTGCCTTAGAGGGTCATTGTGCGGATGGAAAAGGTTATAACATGTTTGTTTTCTCTTTCTTTTTTCCCCAGTTATGAAATGGTGTAAAAGGTTTAGAAAACATTTCATAATATTGTGCAACAGCCTGCAAGCTGGGGAAAGCTTAAGGCCTTGTTCACACCTGACCGTTTTGTAGCGCGTCCTACGCTCGACGAACGCTCTACAAAACGGTCAAAAAAATAAATAGCATTGTAGTCAATGCCCTCGTTCCCCCCTTGGCCTATTTCCGCCCGTCCCTAACGCCCTACAAAACGGCCCACGCCTGAAAAGGTCCCGGGACTACTTTGGGCCGTTTTGTAGGGCGTTTTCCATTGGGATACAGCCAAGTAGCCTTTGGAATCGCGCAACTTTTTTACCGCGAATCGCGGTAAAAAAAACCGCGCGACGGTCGCGCGACAGACGCGCTTTTGCAATACGCCTAGGTGTGAACCCAGCCTAACCCAAGAAGAAAAATGTTACACATTGCAGCTCGCCAGTCCTTGGATGTGGTGCCGGGTTGTTTGGTTTTATTTCAGGCCAAGCACCTTTTGTGCAGGGACAGTACATACCGGACAGTACATACCGGTTAATCCTGTCCAAAATCTTGTGTCCTTGTAACGTCCTGGGCTGAAATCTCACACAATGTTATCAGCTTTTTCAGCTGTCCTCTGCAAACTACAAAGCAACGCCCCTCCATTTAATGGAGATGAGGGGGGTGCTGTGTTTGTAGTCCAAATCAGGAGCGTAGCCTAGGGTGACAACGCTGCTTTTCCCTAGCTACAGTCCAGTAAGTGAGCCTTGTCACCCTGCGACAGAATGTGTGTTATTGGCAGAATCACCAGTTGAAAATGAAGGGGAAAAAACTGAATAAGGAAAACGAATGCGGCCACCACATTGGAGGACTTGTAAGCTGCAGCATATTAGATTTTAGTTTTTGGGTTACATAGTTGGCAAGGCTGATATCTTTGGATACACTATATTGCTAAAAGTATTGTGAAGCCTGTCTTTACACGCACATGAACTATAATGGCATCCCAGTCTTAGTCCGTAGGGTTCAGTATTGGGTTGGCTCCGCCCTTTGCAGCTATAACAGCTTCAACTCTTCTGG